TTCAAGATTCCGATCTATCGCATACTTAGTGAAATCCGAGACGAGGAGTATGTCCGGTTTCCTGCTAAGTTGGGCGATGAACAAAAGGGCTATAATCCGCGGTATCAATCATCGGGAGCGAGGCCACCGGACTGAGGATTGTTTGCCATTGAGGCAACACCTGGAAGAGCTAGTCGTGGTTGGGCACCTGGATCTTTACATTGATGGGGGTGTCAAGGCAAATCAAGTTCCGGTTGATCCGCGGGGACCAGACAACAGGGATGCACCTCCTCAAGGGGTTGTGAATGTCATCCACGGCATAGTGGAACCGGCGCGTGTTTGCGAGCTCCGTGGTATGATCAAGAAGGCAGAGCACATGAGGGAAGTTTTGTCAGTACAGCCTGCGCTCAAGAGGGGGAAGACGAAAGCGAAAGATGCGATCAGTTTCTCCTCAAGGGACTTGGAGCGCATTCAAACACCGCACAATGACGCCTTAGTAGTCACACTCCGCGTCAAAGATTTTGAAGTAAAACGGATCTTGATCGATCAGGGAAGCTCGGTCGAGAATGACACTTACTCGGGAAGTCTCTCATAAGCAGTCAACACATTCCATACTTCACGAACAGGAGCTTTTACTGTTATGCTGGCAACAACGCAGCGATGCACGCCTCCGTTTTCCTTCACCCGAAAACTATTTTATCAGCAAAACCGCTATAACAAATGTGCCTTTCCATCAGAAAGAAAGGCCTAGTGAGATGAGTGTAGAGTCAATCAGTTACCAATAGGCCATCAAATCTACGGAGATGAACTTCATCCACCATGCAAGGCCCATCAATTTTGCAAGCTTTCCAAAAAACTCCCCATTTACTGCTCAAGTCACTAGAAGATGTGGACAAACGACCAAAAGAACTGGCATAATTCTCTTTCAACTCTCCAGGAGAAAGTTTATCTTTCTCTGATAAAGCACCATCAATGTCTATGCCAGGGGAAATAGGGAAAGCCATAGATGTTGTACCCAAAATACTTTCCGTGATTAGTGCATTCTGATTCCCTTCGAAATTCCTCTCAGCTCTACAAGCCAAGGCTTGAAGATTCACAGGAAGATCTGATCTGATAATCCTCTCCAAGAATATGGCTGGGAAGTTGAACCTTGGTATCACATTAACTTCATATGACAAAATTGTTGTTATGGACCTGTGAAACAAAATAACCAATAGAGATTAGGAAAGTCCTGCAATAAGTGATTTTATTCATGCGTCAATATTCATGAAGAAGGGAGATGAAATGATTGTTCAGCTAGATGAACAATCAAGAACAAGGAGATCGGCGCTGCATCACGCCGAGGTAGTTGTGGAGGAAGTCAAGAATTTGCTGGAGGCACGAGCAATTCAAGAAGTACACTATCCTCGTTGGATCTCAAATACAGTGGTGGTACCGAAGAAGAATGGGAAGTGGCGAGTTTGCGTTGATTACAAGACCGTCAACCGAGCTTGTCCGAAAGATAGCTTCCCTTTGCCTAGAATTGACCAGCTCGTGGATTTGACGGCTGGACCTAACAGGCTAAGTTTCTTGGATGCCTACCGCGGCTATCATCAGATTGCCATGCATGGCCCCGACCGAGAAATCACCTTGTTTACTACACCAAGGGGACTCTTTTGCTACCGAGTTATGCCTTTTGGTTTGAAGAACGCCGGGACAACTTTTCAGAGGATGGTGACCAAGATGTTTGCTCCTTTGCTGGGCCGGACAATGGAAGCCTACATTGATGATATGGTGGTTAAAAGCCGGCATCAGGCAGATCATTTGTCTGACTTGTCCGAGATGTTCACCATTCTCAAAAAACACAAGCTACGCCTGAATGCGTCTAAGTGTGCCTTCGGCGTGAGATCCGGAAAATTTTTGGGATTCCTAGTCACTAACCGAGGTATCGAAGCAGATCCTACACAAATCCAAGCCGTGCAAGAGTTAAAACAGCCTAGCTCGGCAAAAGACATGCAACATCTGGCCGGAATGGCCGCCGCGCTTAATCGATTTATAAGCCGGTCATCAGATTGCTGCCGCCCTTTCTTTCAGTCCTTAAAATCAAAGTTCTCTTGGGATGAAGAGTGTGACCGAGCCTTGGCCGAGCTCAAGGAGTATCTGTCTTCAGCGCCACTGTTGGTCACACCGGAGCCTGGAGAAGAGCTCTATCTTTATTTGGCCGTATCACAGCATGCAGTCAGTGCGGTGTTTGTCCGGGCTGAAGGAATCAAGCACCTCCCCATCTTCTATGTCAGCAAAACTTTGCTACCGGCAGAGTCGAGATACTTGCCGTTGGAGGAGCTTGCTTTGGCATTAATGATGGCTTCAAGAAAGTTGGCGCACTATTTCCATGCACATACCGTCATCGTCTTGACCGAGTTCCCCCTCAAAGCTTTATTCGAGCGGGCAGACTTCTCCGATCGGATTTTAAAGTGGGCGGTCGAGTTGGGACAGTTTGATGTGAAGTTCCAGCCGCGCACTACCATAGACTTTGGCGGACTTCGTCGCCGAATTCTCACCTGGAACTCATCCGGTATGCCCGGTCGATATTACTGCGGCCGATGATGAGGTGCACGCAAGACCTTCCGAGATACAACCGGATGGTGGAGGTAGCGACGCGGAGTTTGCGCGCACCACTGAAGCACCCTCAGTTTGTACGGTTTTACCACCCGGTAATGCGATGACGGGGTTGCATATCACCGACCAACCTGCTCTGTCCAGTCCCGCATCACCAAGGGGGGAAGAAATGGAACCACACAGCTCAGAACCTGCGGCCGGCATAATACCGCAACCTGGTGATTCGCCTACAAACTTGAGCATTGCAAATCAACTTGCTGAGTCCGGTGCCGAATCATCAAGGGTGGCTGAATTGGAAACAATCAACACAGAACTCGAATCCGAACGGCCAAGCAATAGTGATCCCATCAACCTTCGTAACTCTCAGGACCCTTAGCAATGTTGGAAGCTCTTTGTGAGGGAGATGTGGAAACTTTTCGTTGATGGAACGTCGAACCGCCACGGTGCCGGGCTAGGTATCGTTCTTATCTCGCCGGATGGCCTAACTATTGAACATTCTATCACCCTTGGCTTCCCAGCATCCAACAACGAGGCTGAGTACGAGGCACTTTTGGCCGGACTCAAAAGCGCCCTTCAGATGAAGGCTTCCGAGCTAATGGTGTACAGTGACTCCCAGCTTGTGGTTAACCAGGTCGCTGGGATTTATGAAGCAAAGGACGACAGAATGGCAAAGTACCAAGCTTTGGTCAGGGAGCACATCAAGCAATTTCAGGCAATCAGAGTTCAACAGATTGGCCGAGAAGAGAACAACCGAGCTGATGAGTTGGCCGGCCTCGCCTCAATGGTTGATTGCGCATCTCCTAACCCCCTGTTAATTGAATATCTTCCACGGCCGAGCATAGAGGAAGCCGGACAGACGGATGTATTCTGCACCGCGCTAGGTCCTTCCTGGATGGACCCTATAGTCCTGTTTCTCAGAGATCGGATTCTGCCAGCCGAGAAGAAAGAAGCGCACAAAGTCCGGGTGAAATCAGAGCGGTTTTGGCTCTTTCCATCTGGAGCGTTGTATAAAAAATCCTTCACCGGTCCTTATCTGAAATGCGTGCACCCGAGTAGCGTGGAGGCCTTCTTGTACGAAATTCACGAAGGCATCTGTGGTAGCCACATAGGGGGCAGGTCCTTGGCCTATCGCGCTATTTCGCAAGGCTATTGGTGGCCGTGCATGCAAGCCGACGCCCAGAAATATGTTCGCAAGTGCGAGAAGTGCCAGAAGTTTGCGCACCAGATTCATCAGTCGGCCAGAGAACTTCTTCCCCTAACCAGCCCTTGGACTTTTGCAATGTGGGGATTAGACATAGTGGGGCCGCTCCCAACAGCACCAGGCAACCGGGAGTTCTTCATCGCGGCAACAGACTACTTCACCAAGTGGGTTGAAGCCGAGCCTTTGGCAACAATCAAAGAGAAAGACGTGAAGCGGTTTGTCTGGCAGAATGTGGTAACACGGTTCGGCGTCCTTAAAATTTTGATCTCTGACAACGGCACCCAGTTTGACGGTCGCCTATTCAGAGGGTTTTGTGAAGATTTGAAGATTGAATTCTACAACTCCACTCCGGCTTACCCGCAGTCCAACGGTCAAGCCGAGGCGTCAAACAAGATTATTCTTGACGGACTGAAGAAGAGACTTGAGAAGGCCAAGGGAAAGTGGGCCGAGAAGCTTCCCAGCATCCTTTGGGCATACCGAACTACCCCTCGGCGTTCTACCGAGGAAACTCCATTCGCTTTGGCTTATGCCATGGAGGCGATCATACCTTTGGAAGTAGGTATGCCCACTCTCAGAAGTGAAAGTTTTGAACCCGAGCTAAACGCCGAGGCCATTGCTCTAGAAATGGATCTGGTGGAAGAGCGCCGGGAAAAGGCTCTCATCCACATCGCTGCCTACCAACAAGAGCTCTCAAGGAAGTACAATAAAACGGTGCACCCCAAACCGTTCAAAGTAGGTGATTGGGTTTTGAGGAAAGTTATGGGCAACACCTTGGTGCCCGGTGAAGGCAAACTAGGGGCAAATTGGGAAGGACCCTACAAGATAACCGGTTTGGCGGGCAAGGGGGCATACCACTTGGAGGATCTCGATGGTAAAGGAATACCCCGGCCATGGAATGCGGCCAACCTCAAACTATACTATTTCTAGCTTTTGTTTTCTTTTTGTGCAAAGGAATTTTTTGCCTTTCACTTCAGAATGTATTTCTTTTTGTCAATATATAGAGGTGTCTTCTTTGCCTTAGCATTTTGATCGATTGCTTTAAAAATTAGAGATTCTCAATCGAGATGATTTATTCCGGTTGAAAGAGTTGATGTTTTGTTCAACTTAGGTATTCTCAACCGAGATGATTTACTCCGGTTGAAGGAGTTGGTGGCTTGTCCAACTCAGAGATTCCAACCGAGATGAATTATTCTGGTTGAAGGAGTTGGTGGTTTGTCCAACTCAGAGATTCCAACCGAGATGAGTTACTCCGGTTGAAGGAGTTGGTGGTTTGTTCAACTCAGAGATTCCAACTGAGATGCCCTACTCCGGTTGAAGGAGTTGATGGTTTGTTCAATTCTCAGAATTAAAACCGAGATGTTAACTCCGGTCAGGTGAGTTGGTGGTTTGTCCAACTCAGAGATTCCAACCGAGATGAATTATTCCGGTTGAAGGAGTTGGTGGTTTGTCCAACTCAGAGATTCCAACCGAGATGAGTTACTCCGGTTGAAGGAGTTGGTGGTTTGTCCAACTCAGAGATTCCAATCGAGATGCCCTACTCCGGTTGAAGGAGTTGATGGTTTGTTCAATTCTCAGAATTAAAACCGAGATATTAACTCCGGTCAGGTTAGTTGGTGATTTGTACAACTTTGTGATTGAAACCGAGATGTTCTGCTGAAAATAGAGTTCGAGAAAACCGTGCGAACACTTGTTGCAATTAAAGTTATTTATTGATAGAAAGTTAATACAAAAGGAGGGGCAGAGAGCCCGGTTACATGTGCAAAGCAATTAAAAAAAAGAAAACTACGCTAAGGGGGAGAGATTGGTGAATTCATCATCTAGAGTTGTCTCCAAGTTCACTACTAGAGATCGGTCCTCAACACCGGGCTCAGTTCGGCCGGGCTGCTCCTGTTCTGGTTGCTCCTCTCCGTCAGTATCTTCCCCGGCCTCTTCCTCTTCAAGCTCTTCCTCGGCCTCAGCCTGCAATGCACTGAAGACGTCATTGGCATATGGCACGAGGTAGGCCGGCAGGGAAGCAAGCGGCAGGGTGGCCAAGACGTCAGTATCAGGTCCCTGACCGAGATGCTCGCAGGCAGACTTCTAACCCGCTTTGAAGTAGATGTTTTGGGTAGCGAAGACCTGCTTCTTGTAGCTTCCCTCGGCTTCTAGGAAGCCGGCGTTGTTTGCATCTGGCAGTCCTTCTTCCTTGACTTTTTCAGGGCGTCCAGCTCGGCCTGGAGCTCATCGCGCTTCTTCTCGGCCTCGTCAAGCTGACCGTGCAACCTGTTGTTGTCAGCATTGGTGATTTGGAGAGATGCTTTTGCCCGGCCAAGCTCGGCTTGGAGGCTTTGGACTTGGCTGTCAGTGTCGGCTGCCTTTTGCCGAAGTCGGTGGATGCGCTCCATGACTAAGTGTTGTTTTTGGATGGCCTGCAAAAAGGAAACCTGATCAGAGAAGAAGAAACCGTGCAAACACTAAGAAAATTGGAGTAGAAGGTTGAGACTTTTACCCTGGTCATAGACTTCACGGCTGATTTCACCAGCCGGGTGTCAGGAACGTGGTCGCTGCCAACCACGTCGCTCGGCAGGAGAAGGGCTTTGGAGAGATCAAAGGCAAGAAGATGTTCTTTGTCTCCCTTGACGGAAGCCGTTGCCGGGATCTCTTTTCCCCGGTGCTTGAGCTGCGGTCTCCATGCCGGCGTTGGTTCAGCTGTGACGGTAGGTTGCTCAGTGGATAGTTCGGTAATCAGCTCGGCAGACGGGTCCGCGAGAGCTTTTTTGCCAGCCCGGCGTGTTACTTGGCTTGACTCCCCGGCAGCTTGAGAAGCAAGGGCGACCATGGTGCCCCTTGACTGACCGGCGGCTGGAGAGCGGGTGGCGACACTCGGTATCTCGGCAGACGTTGCGGTGAGCAGGTTTTTGATTCGGCTTCGTTTGGCCATTTCTTGCTCTTCTGTCAACCGGATTAGTGGAACGTCTGGCAAAGTTGGATCTGGTGGAGGTGATGGAGCACGGAGGAAGTCTGTAACTTTACTCCGGCGGGGAGCAGAGTATCTGTAGGTTGGAGTGTAGCCGACCAGCTCGTTGCAATCTCGGTTGCGATGGCGGAGCACGGTCCGAATTGCCTCTACGTTGGGAAATTGGTAGTTGGCTTGCAAGGCTTGGATTGCTGCAAAAGAAATAAGAAAACTGGTTAATTACAGAATAAAGAAGGTAAGCTGACCGAGCAAGTTTGAGCGGCTTACATGAGGAACCGAAGTTCTGCTTATAAACCAGCCCGGTACCTCGGCTATTTCGTAATTACCCGACACCCAGAAAAAATCGTCGTCGTGCAAGTCTTTATCCGGGGTGCCGGTTACAAGTTTCTCCTTGCCTGGTCTGATTTTCAAGTAATAGGCTAGGTCGTCACCGGTGTGACCCATAGTGTATTGCCTTAATATCTCGGCTAGACCTAAGTTGGTACCTAGCCGATTGTTCAGTTCATGGACGCCGTTGATAATTTGGTAAGTGTTGGTGGACACTTGTGTGGGTGCCAGCCCGGTGCGGCGGAGGAACTCAGTGATAAGTGGGTTGAGTGGGAAGCGGAGGCCTCCTTCGACGATCAACAGCACGGTGAAGGGGCATTGTTCTGTTTTGTCCCAAGGCGTGGTCTCTTCTTCTACGAGCTCTAGGTGGACATCGGCCGGGATGCCGCACTCCTCCCTGAATGCAGCTAGTGCAGCCGGAGTATCTACGAGGAAGCGGAATTTCTCCATTTACGACCGGCTAAATTAGCTCGGCTTTGGTTTGGCACTGTCAGGTGATTTGTGGCTGCTTGGTCTTTAGGAGCCTCAGGATTGGACAGTGGTCCCCTTGGACTCTGCAGGAAAAGGAGGGCAAGTGTAAGTGGGAGCGCGGTCGCGCAAAGCGAGCTTGACTTTAGCTCGGTCGTCACGAGTGCCAAACCACCTCGGTCGTAGAGGCTGACAAGGAGCTCGGCCGCCCAAGCAGACCAGATTTTAGCCCGGTTGAGTGGCCAAAGACCTTTGTTATCCCGGTTCTTGCTACAGTTATATCTAACAGGTTATTTGCTCGGTCGAGATGGTTTTTTGGATCAAACGAAGACTGGGAGCCCGGTCCGCCCCAGTTCTTCGAAGTTCATCAGCGAAAATAAAGAACACTATGAATAGTGGGAGGTTTGGGACGATTTCTATGGCCTACGTCCTAAGAACTATGTTTTAGTACCCTAATGTGTGAAATATTTAAGAAGATAGCAACAAAAGAGGAGTTGAAGGACTTACCAGTGAAGGGCAGGGACTATTCCTTCGAGCACGAAGAATGGCAGATGAGGCTTGGAGAAAGTTGCTTGAGCTCTGAAGCGTCGGATTGCAGAGAGGCAGTAGGAGCGAAATGAGGAAGAGGGGGCTTGTATGTATAGACGGAGAAACCGCCAAGAATTCAAATTCTGGCGGACGGCTGGGTTGGCTGCTCGAGGTCCAATGGAAGCCTGCCACGTGTCCCCATTTATGACGACGTCAGAACTGAAAGGACAGGTTGAAGAGTCGAGGCGAAAACCGGGCAATTTTTGAGGAAGAGGACGCCTACCGAGGAGTATAACCGAGCAAGTTTGCAGATAGGAATGTCAACTAGCCCGATCGCCATTTCGCATTCTGAGGACTGAGGAAGTGTTGTCCCGGTCGAAATAAGTAATCCCAGTCACGTTTTTGCGGACGGAATTAAGGGGCAATTGAGAGGGAGATTTATGATTTGAGATTGGGCCGTGACGTTAGCCGGACAGATTTGGGCCGAGGTATTGGGCTCCAAGATCAGGCCATGATATTGCTCGGTAATGGCAAAGCCCACGTGGAACCGAGCTATATGATCTCGATTCTGCGAAGGGCGGACAGGTGGAGGAACAGCCCAGATGAGGCTCCCCGGCTCACGCGTTGCAAGGTTGTAAAGCACGCACCTTAACCCGGTAGGAAGGCCGGCACTTGGAGCTTGGCCGAGAAGGTTGTTGGCTGACCGTCACAACCAATCTCCAACTCAGCTTCGCTGGAATACAGTTGAGCACGGCCGGAATTAGGCCCGGTAGTAGGAAACTATCAACTGCATTTTGGCATGATCAGTATGGCCGTTGATAGCCGAGATAATGTTGCCCGGCTGCCGTGCTCCCAGCAGAGTGGACTGGCAGTTGGGTTAGGTGATGTATAGCAAGATTTGTGCTGACAGATGGGATAACAAAGCCACGTGTCGAGAGACCAGTGCGAGTAGATTTGGGGCGCAGAAGGGTATATAGGCATGTCTGCGCCCCCCATACGAGACAGGAACATTTTTGTAAGGAAATTGAAATTCTTACACTCTAACAGTCCTCTCTCTCTCTCCCTCTATCCTAAGGTGTGTGCTAACTTGATCGTCGGAGGATTTTTCCGGCTACACACCGCCGGGTAGCTCACCGTTATTTGCTCGCAGGTGATCGGACAGAAACGGAGCTCGGAAGAAAGGAGTACGGGCTCGCCGGAATATTTGCTCCCTGTATAATGACGATATTCCATACTCATAATAAACATCAAATTTTCATAATCCTAGCAAATTCAATCATGCTACCAAAGATAATTTCTCGACAACACAACACAACCCATCCATCTCATGGGTGCCACAACAATACATCACTTACGAAAGTTAATCATTTTTCTCAATGAAAATCCAACATTTGCGTGAGTCCTTCACAAAATCAACTTTTCCCCAATTTCCAAAATCTAGGGTTTAACAACTTTCTCTTATTTTCAAAATATGTTTTTCTCAATGGACTTCCAAGAGTCTCATAAGTTCATAAAACATATCAATTTGAGCTAAATCATGAGAAAAATCACTTTGTCAAACTCTTGCAAAACCCAACACTTCCAAATTCCAAACTTCCAACACATCACATTAAAATAGGCCAAGACATGCTAAAATCATATATGTAACTCTAAGAAACTCCCTAGCTCAAATTTGGAGGAGAAGGATGAGAAAAATCCTAAGATTTTGTCGGTGTTGAAAGCCGATCTCCACCGTACAAGATGTAGCCCTTAGGGAGCTCTCCAAAATTGATGAAGGAACTAGGGTCAAATCTCCAATGGATTTGAAGAGATTAAGAATTTATGGTGGTGGTTAGGTGTTTTTTAGAGAGGGGAGAGAGAATGAAGTTTAGAGATAGAGATGTAATAGAAGTTAAAAGGAAAGGAAGTGAAAAGGAAATTTTTGGACTTCACTAAACGTTCCTGCACGTGCGCACTTTTTGCCGCACTTGCGGCGCCCCTTTCCGGCAGTGCGGCCCCAGGCCACACGTGCGGTTCCTCTCCTCTGCACATGCGGTTTTTACCTCCCGCATGTGCTTTTATTCTAGAGGCTACGCAACAAAACCTCCCCCTCACTGCACATGCGACACTTCACCCCGCACGTGCGGCTCCCTAGCAGAAAGTGATTCAAAGTTTAACTAGGTGATTCTCCACCCGGTCCGCCTCCTTACTCGAAATAAGAAAATTCCAAATCCGGGAAATGATCTAGGACTACGATACAAGATCACAAGGCATGAGGAGCTCACACGGCCTGACGAGTCCTCAGATTGAAATCGAAAGCTTGGATTAAGGGGTTAAAGCAAAAAAATGAAAAGGAAGAAATTCCGAGTTAAGTACTTGAGACATCACAACATGTGGGGTCCAACACATATATACAAAATAACATGTATACATCTATTATAAATTTATAATTGGTCTCTTTGTAGTTGAATAAGATTTTTCTCTTTCAACCTTGAGCTAGTGATGACTGGTCTTTAAAAAGTTATTGCTTGATTGAGAAATTTCTTTCTTGCCTACCTTTGTACTAATATTAAAAGATGAATACAAATACAAAGGAAGCCATGTGCCATAACTCTTAAAAAGTTGACTTTACTTTTTGGCGACCTCATTATTAATTGAAAGAATTTGCAAGATTATATGATCAAATCTACGATAATAGAATCTTCAAGATACCACTATTACATTGCAGGATGCATGTAATATGAGTTTCTGGTTTTTTTAAGACGTCTAGTTGTGAATCTTGGAAATGAAATCAAGTCAGTGTAAGTGAAATCATGAAGTGCAAAGAGCATCACTTTGTTTAAGTGTACCCTAAGCAATTCTTCCCTCTGAATAATTAGATTCAGCTTTTCTAGGCAGAAGATAGGAAGCTGGTTGAGGATGATCACTTGCTAGAAGTAGTTCTTGTTTCTCTGGGTCCTGCAAAGCATTTTATTGCAGAACTAGAGGTGATGGTGAGAGTATGAAGAAATAAACAACACAACCAAAAGAACAATTGATGGTTGGGAAGATGTCTCCGGTTTGTTTCTTTAACAAGAAACAAAAGATATTATATAAAATAACAACTTAGTACATAGTTGAAGTTTAGATATAAATCTTAATCGAGAAGCTTTGGACACATCCAATAACAAAATGGGGCAAAAACATAGGTGCCGAATTTATTTTTATATCTAAGGATGTGTATTGAACTGCATATTTAGCTAGTGCATCGGCCGCGGAATTTGCTTCTCGGTATACAAAATGAAGCTGCAATGCCTCAAACCCTTGTGCTAGAGCTAGGCCGTCCAGAAGTAGAAGCTCCAGCTTGCGATGATGAACCTCCTTCCTGCGAAAAGCATCAAAACAAAAACCATAAGGGAATCAGTTTCAATAGTGAGTCTAAATATTCCGTGTGCTCAGTCATAGGATAATTCTTCACGGACAACCCACATTTCAGCCATGGCATTAGTAATGTAGCTAATTGTTTTAGCAAATGCTAGTTTAAAATTGCCAGCCTTATCACGGAAGATTCCATCAAAGCCCGCTAACCAAGGATTGCCCATTGCGGTGCCATCAACATTTAATTTTACATACCCTTCAAGCGGTGCAACGCAAGTGATAAAAATAGAAATTTGATCCCTCATAGGCTGCTCATCTCTCCTTTATTTATCCAGCCATGTAAGTAGTTAGCATATAAGGAATTGGTGTCCGGATCCTCAAGAGTTCCTTCTCTAGAGTTGTCATGCCGTTTCTTGAAATGTCGTCGTTTTGGTCAAAACGATGTCGTTTCACTTGGTGCAAAAAAAAAAAAGAAAAAGAAAAAAAATACGCCACAAATCTCCCCCCTCTTCCTTCTTCCTCCTCACCCTCTCGCTGGCAGCCGGCGATTGGCAGCCACCCATCCCCAACCTTTTCAAGCTACTGGCCAACCCTCTCTCCTCCTTCTCCTTCCCTCCTTCCTTGCTACCACTCCATCCGCCACATTCGTGACCACCACTGTCGCCGCCATCGTGACCTCTGTTCTTCTCGCTCTCATCATAGCGATTGGCGATGGCAGTGGGGAAACGGATGGGAGGTGAGATCTTAGCGGTTGGTTAATGACTATCTACTTTAAAAACTTAAATTAGTGGAGAGAATAATAACTTTATTATGCATATATGCAACAGAAAGAGAATGCCTCCTATTTGGTCTAATGTTGGTTTTTTTGTCATGGATAGTCTAAATCTCGACTAATCACATTGAGTATATTTGATTTAATATTGTTATGACAAATTCCAAAACCCTTATGTAAAATTTTGATTGCACTGAAAAATTATATAAAGTAAAGGGGGAGGAAAATTAGGGCCATACCTGGAGATAGAATTGATTTGAGAATATTGAGTCTTTTAAACAGATTGAATCTTCATATGTAATCAATTTCAATTTCAGGGACATGAGCAATCTTGGGCCAATCCTCTCCTATTCCCTTTTCACATCTTCTACTCAAGTGTTTGCACCCCTTGATGCTCAGACAACGTAGTTCAGTGAGATGTTGCATATCTTTTGGCAGAGATAGCAAATTAGGGCAATTATAAATTTCAAGTTCTTGAAGTGATGTGAGACATGGGAGGACGAACTCTGATACTGTTGTCAAGTTCTCACAACTTTGAAGTTTGAACTGATTGAGTGTGTCAGCAGCATCTTGAAGTCCCTTGGGCAAACTCACCAACCGCGGCAGATCAACCAATGTTAGTGATTTAAGTCTTCTCAGCCCCTGCAAATCATTATCCCCTGAGAATTTGAGAGCAAAACAATGGCTAATCTTCAGATGCTCAAGGGCAGTGAGGTATCTCATGCCAAATGGCAATGAAGTTAGCATTGGACATAGTTTAATTTCCAACTTTCGTAGGCAAGTGAGTTTTCCTATCCCTTCACCTAAAGCAGTCAGTTCAAAACTATCATATAGCTGTAATTCCTGGAGAGAAGTCAACCCACCAATCTGTTTCTCAGGCAAACATGTCAGCATTGATGATAAACCCAAAAAACGTAGGTTAATTAGTTTCCCAAAATCTTCAGGCAATTCACATAGTGCTGAACCATAAAGATTTAAATATTGCAAGTTTAGCAAGCTATTGCCAAAGCCTTTAGGGAGTGTTTGCATACCATAACAGTACTTCATGTTAAGGTACCTTAAGTGCTTCAAATTTACTACGTTCTTGGATAAGAAATTAAAACGTTGGCCATGGTTGTCTTCAATGTCAGGGTTGTTAAAGTTTACCACTCGTAAGCATCTAAAACTCGAGATTATTGTTTCAACTGATGATCCAAAGGTGGACTGTCTTTTGCTCGGAAAAAGAATGGTTCGCAACTTCTTTGCTTCAATTAAAGGCCTTGGAAGTTCACCATATGAGCTCGAATCGAATGATACATGCCGAACCTTGTCAGGATTTACCTTGCTGTTTGTCCTTTTCACAGTCAAGCATTCACTACCGGCCACATATTCTGCTAGATCATGAACAAGATCATGCATTTTATATGCTTCACCCCCCTCATATTGAAGAAAGGACCTCCTGACCAGCTCATCTATGTAATTTTGACCCGTATCTTCTAGTTCTTCATTATTGTCCAAAGACTCTATAAATCCTTGTGCCATCCAATAATATATCAACTCGTGTTTGCCGATTATTTGATCCTTCTCAAATAATGAACAATAGGCAAAACACTGTTTTAAATACGATGGCATTTGATCATAACTCAACCTTAGAACTGGTAAGATATCATTCTTATTTTGTGCATAAGCCCAAATTTCACTATCCCTCACAGACAACCAATCACGCTCATTAGTTTTTGAATGCAATGCCGCTCCTAAGGTCCTTGCTGCAAGGGGAACTCCCCCACATTTCTTCACTATATCTCTACCAATATTGATTAGGTTTTGATGCTTGCTCTCTTCTCCTTTTTCAAATGCCCATTTTACCAATATAGATAAACACTCATCGTCTGAAAGACCTTTAAGTTCATATGGGTCCATGGTGTGAACAATTGAAGCAACTTTTCTACTTCGTGTGGTTACAACAATTCTGCTTCCTCTTGCCCCGACTATCAACATATCACGAAGTTTTGCCCATTCTACAGGGTCCTCATTCCATACATCATCTAGGACGAGGAAAATTTTTTGATGACTTAACACTCCTCGAACATGACTTTGCAACTGGTCAATTTCCACATTATCACACGTGTTGTCCCCTAACGCTTTCAGTATTTTAACTAGGATCCTTTTGATGTCAAAATCATCTGAAACACACACCCATAGTCTTTTGCTAAAATGGCATTCAATTTTGTTGTCATTGTATATCGACTGTGCAAGGATGGTCTTTCCTAGACCCCCCATGCCCACTATGGGAATGACATCAACATTTTCATCACCACTAGAGGACACTAACAATTGTACTATAACTTCTTTTTCACGTTCTCTCCCAATAACCTCCACACTACGCACAAAGGAGGAGGTTTCCTCCCTTCTTTTTATCTCAATTGTCCTATCTTCACTTCGAACGACAAACTTAAACTTGCTCATGTCTAAAACAATCTCATCTAGCATCTCACTAATATCCTTTAGCTTATGAGCCACATCACAATGAAATTTAAAAGGATTTGAGGGTGTAAAGAAATAGCATACCTCTCTCATCATGCCCCTGTGAGTTTCCCTTTGTCTTTTCAAGGCCTCGGTTGCAACTTCATCCAATAAGTCGTCAGCATCATAAACTACAACTTTGAGCCTTTGTAGCCATTCTTTTACAGCAAAGTTACTCACTTGCTGCAACGACAAACTTAAACTTGCTCATGTCTAAAACAATCTCATCTAGCATCTCGCTAATGTCCTTTAGCTTATGAGCCACATCACAATGAAATTTAAAAGGATTTGAGGGTGTAAAGAAATAGCATACCTCTCTCATCATGCCCCTGTGAGTTTCCCTTTGTCTTTTCAAGGCCTCGGTTGCAACTTCATCCAATAAGTCGTCAGCATCATAAACTACAACTTTGAGCCTTTGTAGCCATTCTTTTACAGCAAGGTTGCTCACTTGCTGCTTTTGCGCATCTACAAGGACATTTTGTATGGTCAACATCGTGTTCTCCATCTTCTTCAGCTCCTTCTTAACACCCCATGCTAATCCAATCTGTTGGAGAGCATACGACCCCAACTTTGATAAAATATTTTTGGCAATGCTAAATATAATTTCTTCAGCCATATGTTACTTGCCCAATGTTGTGGATATGTTTATTTTTGGCAATGCTAAAGAGAAGGATATGTTTATTGTGAACTAGATGTGTTCATTTCAAACCCTTTTAAATGCTAACTACTATAGCTGGGAATGTGATGCACATCAGAATAAAAAACAAAAAAGGAAAAGGAAAACTTACTTGGGGTACAGGGTGAACTTTGGATTTTGGAATAATTGGCTGGATATGAGGAGAAAGAACCCTTACTTGGGGCAAGGGATGAACTTTGCTTTTTGGAATAATTAGCTGGAGGAGGAGGGAACAAACCTTACTTGGGTCTTCAGCTTTGCATCTTAGAATTAGGAGGGTATTCCCTTTTATCCTTCCGCACTCCACTTTTTGAATGTGTATATGTATAAACTAAATTTGCCTTCCAGTTATCGTGCACTCATCTTTTATCATTTTTCTTTTGCCAATGGACAGACGAATGGTATAATTGTTGATTTAGCATTAAAACAAATGATTGAAGGACAATTGGAAATGTGGATAATAAAAATAGAAGTGGAGTGAGGGAGGATAAAAGAGGAATGCATATATAACACTCCGCTACAATTTTTACCAAAAGAAAACTTTTGTTTAGGCAAGGATCATTGGCCCATTCGACAACGATGACAAGGCTAGGGGACCCTTTGAATTCTCAAAAAAATATACATTGCCCGATTTACGATAGGTTGTTTGGTGCGACTTATTTGAGTTACTTATAACTTTTTTTTATTCAGGAAGTTTGTGTTGGATTATTTGGTACAATTTCTGCTTACAACTTATTATGCTTATTACTTATTTGATAGAAATAGCTTAAATAAATTGAAAACAAATTGATTATCTACAAGCTGGAGAATGAGTACTATTAGTTTCTAGTTTCTAATTATCAGCTTTTAGGTTGCAATAAACTGTACCAAACAATTCAACTAACTTGAAAAAAAATGATTGTTTGAGTTGTTAAGCACACTATAATTGAAGAAGAATCCCAATCTCTCTAACAGCAACTATGAAAAATCCCATTTTAAACACCAATAGGATTTTGTCATGCATGTCCATCTTAAGAATGAAAAATCCTCCCTTTTTTTTTTTTTTTAAACTGGAGATCACATGTGATTTCTTGTACCATGGAATGTTGTCAGCAATGTCTCAACACTTGATGCATACACTTGCTCTTTAGAGATAATTTTAGAACTACTCAATCTAGATGCAACTGTTAATCTTGTGACAACGTTAGTTACAAAGATGGTTTTAAGTCAACAATACTACTCAAGTTGTATTTTTTAGGGATCAAAGTAAGGAAAGTATATTGAAAGCTCTACTAACAATACTTCCTGAAAGTTCCGCCACTCCAAAAAAAATAAAAATTAAATAAATAAATAAAAATCCTCAAAGAATAAAATAGTGTGGGAATCATGCCGTGTCATATTGTTTTTGTGTCATGTGCGGGTTCGTATCAAAAGCGACCCCAACACTAACACGACTTGTTTAACTAAACATGTCAATTATCTTGACATTGACTTACTCATAATCGTGTTAATCTAAATACGACACACCTGACACAGTTAGCATAAGAATATGTTTAAGATTATAAGCAAATTGTACAGTTCATTGCAAGCAAATTTGTTTCGCATTGCATGCATAGTGGTAACTTGTTTATGAAAATAATTCAAAAGATTCATGACGAATTCACTACATATCTAATCTAAACTATTGTTAATTATTAATGTCCAAATATCTAACAAGACATGTTTTCCTCTAACACCAAAATATAATCCAATTGTTAAGAATAAAACACTTAAGATCATATGACTACCAGATTCGGATTGCATTTGGGTTACTTGCAGGTCAATAGTTTGTGTCCACGTGTCAAGACAAATTTTTTACATGGGTAAGATGGGTTGTGTTTGAGTTACGTGTGTTTAATGCGAACATGACTCATTTAATATTTTTGTATTGTCGAGTCGTGTCATATTTGTGTGTGTGAAAATAGATGAACCGTAACCCTCTAAATATGTGTACGATTTAAATTGTATTAACGAATTGCATGTCTAATTCCCATGTAAAGAGACAAATTAAGAATATAGAGTACATGCACATTTGGTTGTTTTTATTTTTATTTTTGAGTTTCTGAAAAACATAGAAACTTGTTTGGCGAATTATTTTCAAAAACGTTTTGGGCAAATATTTTGAAAACAATCTACTTTCAGGAAATACTAAAAAAATGATTTTGCATAAACATAAAAACAAGTAAAATTGAATTTTGAACTCTTCCCTAGAATGTGTGTTTTTTGAGTGTAAACAAGTAAAATAGAAAAAAGAAAACAGTAAACTATAATGGTGAGCATCTTCTTTTTTATTTTTATTTTTATTTATTTTTATATATATATATATATTAAGGTACCCTTTAAAAAGTTGTTGCCAAGTCCAGGTAGAAACCAGGATAACTATCTAAACCAAAGGGAAAGAACTCTGGCAAGGTCTGGTCTATCATCTCTATTCATCCACATCAAATATTTGTCTTTTTTTCTTTGTGAAATTTTGGAGGGAGTATTGGTAAAGGTGAGAAATAGTGGTGAGAGCTTTAACTTTTTCACCAAAAAGATGAAGGGTGCAGAACTTTGGTCACACTGTTGTTTTTTAGTGGTAAAAAAAAAGTATATGAATCATGTAGTCACATGCTCTACTACCAATATGCCCAAAACAACAACTGAAAAAAACCAAAAATGATTTGACAGAAAATGCTTTTAAAAAGTAAAGTAGGCAGCACTGTAGATACAAAAAATGAGTTTTGTTACTAATTATGATTATACATACACATACACATTTTTCTTCTTTTTTTATTTGATTTTTATATTGTTTTAACTACCAGAGGCTTGATAGTTGAAGTAATGCAATATTAAGCATCATTAATCCCAACTAATTATAGAAAATGGATGGCTTGAAGTATAAAAACATGCCTCCTCACTGTCCAAATCATAATGAGTTGAAAACTTTTGCTCCCTAATTTTCTTCTCCAAATCATAATTCACTGTAGGAAGAGTGGGTGAAGGAAAAGATGACATGTAGCACTTTAGAACCAAAGATTAGAACCGAAGACCTTTGATTGATTAAGAGTCTTGTTGATTGCTTCTTTAAGTACCCTCTTTATTTGTTTATTTATTATTACTTATTTTTATTTTTTTCTCATTCCATTATGAGATTTTTCTTTTGCTGCTTTTAATTGCATGCAAGCTCCTCCACATTTAAGTATGCTTTCCACATTATTCACTTAAAACAATCAGAACTCAGTAGCACCCATGTTTCACTTGGATTTAGAGGTCTACTTAAGAGAAAGTGTGGTTGTACTAGAGGTTCAATGGCACAATTGCAATATGATTTAAAAAAACACCTTTACATGGCAATACATTTGCCATTCTTGTTATAATTGTTCAGTTTAAAACTTTCAATCTATTTGAATATTGACACATACAATCAGTAAGTGGGTCCAAAGGGTAATTTCCCCAACATCAGGTACATACAGGTCCCTTCAATTATTACCTTCAATTATTAAAGCTCACACAGTGAAGCCTTAATTTCTGAAATCATTGTCTTCACAACTAGCAGCTTCTTCATCCAAAACCCTTCATTATCAAAACTACTCACAGAATCATGGCAGAAACACTTGTGTCTAACATTGCAGGGGCTGTTCTTAAAAAGATAGCCTCCCTTGCTCTTCCAGAGATCAACTTGGCATGGGGTGTGAAAAATGAATTGAGAAAACTCGAAAACACCTTATCCACTATCAAATCTGTACTTTTGGATGCAGAGAAGCAACAGGCAAAGAACCATGCTGTGAAGGATTGGCTTGAAAAGCTTAAGGATGTTGTTTATGACATCGACGATGTGTTGGATGACTTCTCAACAGAAACCCTGCGATGGAAAGTAGAGGTTTGTGGGAGTCTGATCAAAGAGGTAAGCAACTTCTTTTCAAGTTCAAATCCACTTGTTTTTCGTTCTAAAATGGGGCAAAAGATAAAGAAAGTAAGGCTTAGACTAGATCACATTGCGGCAGACAAGAGAAATTTTCACTTCACTGAGCAAGTTATGGATATCCAAGTTCAAAATACGAGGAGGGTACAAACACACTCGTTTGTTCGGACATCTGATGTTATTGGAAGGGACTGTGATAAAGAGACTATCATAGAACTTCTATTGAGCTCTTGTGACCATGAAAATTTGTCTATTATTCCCATAGTTGGACTTGGAGGCCTTGGAAAGACCACACTCACAAAATTGGTGTATAATGATGAGAGGGTAGAAGAGAACTTTGAACGTAAAATGTGGGTCTGTGTGTCGGAAGATTTTGATCTAAAAATGCTAATTGAGAAAATCATCAGATCTGCAACCGGAGCTAATTGTCCCCAGTTAGATATTGATCAGTTGCAAACTTACCTTCGCGATAATTTAAATGGTAAGAAATTTTTACTAGTGCTTGATGATGTTTGGAATGAAGATTTAATGAAGTGGAAGGAATTGAGAGATCTGTTGATGGGTGGTGCCAATGGAAGTAAAATCATTGTAACAACACGGAGTAAGAAGACTGCTTCTATTATGGGTACCAACACATCATACAATTTAGGGGGTTTATCATCTGATGAGTGCTTGTCTTTGTTTATGAAATATGCATTTCGAGGAGGAGAAGAAAAAAAGCATCCAAACTTAGTTGAAATTGGAAAGACAATTGTAAAGAAATGCGGAGGAGTTCCCCTTGCTGTTATAACCTTAGGAAGCTTATTGTATATGAAAGCAGAGGAACGTGACTGGTTGTATGTAAGAGATAATGATATTTGGAAATTAGAACAAAAGGAGAATGATATCTTACCTGCATTGAGGTTAAGTTATGATCAAATGCCATTGGACTTGAAACAATGCTTTGCTTATTTGTCGTTTTATCCAAAAGATTATGATATGTTAAAGGATAATGTGATCCAAGTATGGATAGCACAAGGATTGATTCAACAACCAGATGGAAACCAACTGTTGGAAGATATTGGAGATACATATGTCAATGAGCTGGTGTCCAGGTCATTCCTTGAAGTTGTTGCCGATGATGGTGAAATTGAACTAAGAATGCACGATATTGTTCATGACCTAGCTTTGTCGATTGCTGGAGCAGAGTGGTTAACAATGAACTCTGATACCACAAAGATCACTGGAAGGGTTCGGCATATAATGTTTCCCGGGCATGATTTATCAGAGAGAAAATTTTCTCTTCCCTTGCAAAATCTGACGAGGGTGAGATCCTTTTCATTTCAAAATGTAGAGACGTCTGTTAGCTTATCCTCTCTTGATATGCTTATGTCAACTTTCAAGTGCTTGAGAGTGTTGGCTATAAAAGGAGCAGATTTTGAAGAGTTGCCAAGCTCTGTTGGTAACTTGATTCATTTAAGGCATCTTGACCTTAGCTGTAATAGGTGCATCAGAAAACTCCCTGATTCCATCTGCAAGCTGCTGAATTTGCAAACCTTAAATCTCTTCATGTGTATGCAACTTCAAGATTTACCTAAGGGCATTGGAAAGTTGATTAACCTCCGGGCTCTATATTTGACTTCATATCAATCATGCTTGCCTGAGAAAGAGCTCGAAGGCTTGACCTCACTTCAGTTCTTGTATATTTTCCATTGTAAACATCTTACATCTTTATCTTCTGGGATGCAGCACCTCAAGGCCCTCCGAACTTTGGTTATATCACACTGTCCGGGGCTGACTTCTCTCCCTAGTGAAATGAAATATTTGATTGCCCTTGAAACACTGCACATATTCTTTTGTCCAGAACTTGATTTGTTGGAAGGAGAAGGTATGCAAGGCATTAAGAATCTTCGATCTCTAATCCTCGAAAGCCTCCCAAAGTTGGTTGCTCTGCCAGAGGGACTTCAACATGCTGCTTCTACCTTGCAGTGTCTACGTATTCTACGCTGTACTGGTTTTGCAACAATACCAGAGTGGCTGAGAAATTTCACGTCTCTTCAAAAACTTGAATTGGAATACTGTCCATTGTTGTGCCCGTCAGAAGGGATGCGTTCACTTCCTCCAGTGCAAGAGTTACGTATTAAAGGGTCCTCCAACTTGAGTAGAATATGCAGAAGGGAAATTGACGATGCAATAGATTTACAATCAGAGCCAGACAACCATTCATATCCGTGGCGTGCTATTCACATCCCAGATGATGTCAGTCTTGATTCAGATGCATATGACTTGGACATCTATTTGGAACATAAGGATTTTGAAACCGATTCATATGACATTGGTAACATGGATGATGATAAAAGCGAAGATACCAATTCGGCTTATTCCTTCTCCATGCCTGATTGTTGATTTTCACTTTGTCTCTGATGTTGTTGATATTTCATTAATAGTATGATGTTGCAGGCTTCAACCTCATTTCCCTGGAAGCTTTTTTTAAGTTAGTGCTCTGTCTCTTTCTCTCGCCTATAAATATTTGTCAAGCATTTGTAAGATGGGTATGTTGTAATTTGCATTTGAAATGTTTATCGAACTTGTTTTTACTTGTGATCCTGTTTTTTTTTGGTGCTTGTGTTGAGAGACTCTATGGTACAACCCTTTAAAAGGTGTGTATCATATGCACCTGTTATGTATTTTTGTGGTGTATGTTATATATTTTTGTAGTAAATGTTATGCAATTTTTTGGTGTTACAATCACTTGTGGTTTAGAAATAAAGTTAATGTTATGCATTTTTGTGATAATATTACATATTTTTTTATCCAAACATTTTCTAACAAAAAAATGTGTAACATTATTAAAAAAGAAATACGTAACTTTATCATAAAATATGTAACTTTATTTCTACTTACCCAAAAAAAAAAAACTTTATTTCTAAACCACAAATTGTTGTAACTCTATCAGAAATTTTTTGAAACATTTACTATAAAAATACATAACATATATCACAAAAATACGTAATAAAAATGTATATAGTACACATTTTTTAAGAGGTGCGTACAATACTAGTACCCGCTTGTGTTGGGTGGAAATATTTTCTTATTTCTCAATGTCATGACATCTTTGTTCGATATCATTTGCATAACAAGCTTTATTCAATTTCGTGAGGATGATTTTGACTAATTAATGGAGCTGTATGGGTGATTGAGAGTTCCTAAAATTAAGTTGGTAGGGTTGCCAGTAATTTCCATTTCCTCTCAAACAGCTCTGACAAATGCTCGTGTACATATATAAATTTTAATTTTGTTTTAAAGGCCTACATTGTTAAATTTAAATCTAAAAAGTATAAATTTTGATTTTGTTTTAAAAACACACATTATGTGCCGCGGTAAAGATCTTGTCTACTAGATCGAAGGTTTTAGTTTTGAGTCCTAATCTCGTCAGTGATTCTTATGTGTAGGAAAAGTAGAAAAATAAAATTTGTGAAAGCTATATAAATAGTTAGGGAAAATTGTGTATTTTACACTATTATTTTGGTTTTTGTACTTTCATTGTAACAATTTGTCCTTTAATTTTACAATTTTCCTTTACGTATTATATCTAATGGTCAAATCAATAATATTGGTCAATATTTTTAACCCAAAAAAATGACTATTTGGTAATTAAGGCCTCATTTGGGTAGATGTTATTTTAGTAACTTTTTGACCTTTTAGCTAAAATATAATGTGAAAAAAATTAGTATATTTGGAATGATTTTTTGATTTTTTATAAAAAGATATGCAAAAAGTACAGAGAAAATGAAATATTTGACTTTTTAGTATAGATTATAAGCTTTTTGATTTTTTTAGTAACTTTTTAATTTTTATGCTAAAACTATTACATGCCAAACCAGGCCTAATTATCGGCAAAATGGGAAAATCATCCGTTTATTTCTCTCTTTCCTTGGTCACCAGCCTTGGACAACGGGAAATTCTATTTTCACGCACCAAATCTCCTCAATCCACACACTTAATGAATTTTTCTTATATTACATTTTTATCCTAAAATAAAAATATTAAAATATCCTCATCTTTTCAACCTAAACCCTAATTCTCAAACTAAAACACAATTGTGCCGTCCACGGTCATTAGCCTCCACCTCCGGTGAACTTTCTCCACCGTCACTATCACCACATGTTGGGTTTTGCAAGATTTTGTGCCCCCGTTGACTATTTTGTTTTTGTTTCGATGAATACTAGCTAGAATGTGAATGATTAATGAATTTTGGGTCTACTACATAATTTCTTGGAAAGTCAAGAATCTGGTTTAGATGTTTTGAGTTGTGAGTAAGTGAGGGATAAATATAATGGACAATTTTGGGAATGGTACAAGTGGATGCAATTCTAAAACATTATGTGATCCTCTTGAAGGACTTGAAATTCATTGAATCTGGCAAACTTGATCACAAATTTAGAGACTCAGACATGCGTCCAAGTTGACCAACAATATCACAAGTATTACCCCCCTCTCTCTTTCTCTCTGATGCACACACTCACAAAACATCAGTTTATGTTTGGAAAATTATAGAATTTTTTTAAAACTGTAAATAGAGAATGTTATGGGATGGGATGGGCTTGTAATGGCGACTAGTGATGGTAAAGGGATGAGAATGACAATCATGGCATAATTTTTCAGCGTTGGTTGGCCGTCGGTGAATGAAAAATGGTGAGCTAGGGTTAGGATTAGGGTTTAAAAAAGGAAGGAGATGCGGGCATTTTTGGTATGATAAGTTGTGTATTGAGTAGAAGATGAGATTTTAAATTCATTAAGTGTATGCCTTGAGAAATAATGTGCACAGAAAATATTTGGTATGTGGAAGTAGAATTTCCCTTGGACAACCATTTACTTGACAACCAAAAGGAAATAAAAGACAATAAACCCATCTTGTCATGTAGGGTTTATTGTTAATTTCATATTAGTGTTTTGAGAAACAATATAAAGAGTAACAAATAGTGATTGTCCTGGAGCAATGCCCCAAGGCCCCGTTTGTTATCCGCTATCACAGTCCACTCCGGATTGTGATAGATGAACAGTGAACAAAGCTTCCGTTTGTTTTGATTTTGGAACTTCGGATTAGTAGTCTGAAGGGACTATGATGGGCCTCGCCAAAGGGTATTAGTAATCTGGAGTGAGAGATGGTATTAGCAACTAATCCGTTCGGATTGGGTGTTACGGGACGTCTGCTCTGAAGTTCGGCTGGTCAACCGATCAGCGCAATTTTTTTTTTATTTTACTTCTTGGGCATTTTTTTTTAAAACATTAATGTTTAATGTTTTTGTATTTTTTGTTAAGTAAAAATCATAATTTTATTTGTTTTATTATTTTATATAAAAAATAATTTAACAATCCTCTCACTAACAAAACAAACACAATTTTACTAATCCCTTCACTATGAAAACAAACACAATTTTACTAATCCTCTCACTATCAATCCCATCACTAACACTCCTCTCACTATTAATCCCCTTACATGTTATTTTAATAACTTTTTGACTTTTTAACTAAAATATGAGGTGAAAAAAATTAGTACATTTGGAATGACTTTTTGATTTTTTATAAAAAGATTTGCAAAAAGTACAGTGAAAATGAAATATTTAACTTTTTAGTATAGATTACAAGTTTTTTGATTTTTTTAGTAATTTTTTGATTTTTATGCTAAAACTATTACATGCCAAACCAGGCCTAATTATCGGCAAAATGGGAAAATCATCCGTTTATTTCTCTCTTTCCTTGGTCACCAGCCTTGGACAACCATTTACTTGACAACCAAAAGGAAATAAAAGACAATAAACCCATCTTGTCATGTAGGGTTTATTGTTAATTTCATATTAGTGTTTTGAGAAACAATATAAAGAGTAACAAATAGTGATTGTCCTGGAGCAATGCCCCAAGGCCCTGTTTGTTATCCGCTATCACAGTCCACACCGGATTGTGATAGATGAACAATGAACAAAGCTTCCGTTTGTTTTGATTTTGGAAGTTGGGATTCGTAGTCCGAACGGATTATGATAGGTCTTGGTGAGGGGTATTAGCAGTCCGGATTGAGAGATGGTATTAGCAAAATAGTCCGTTCGGATTAGGTGTTACAGGACATCCGCTCGGAAGTCCGGCTGGTCAACTGATTTTTTTTTAAATTTTTTTACTTGGACATTTTTTTTTAAACATTAATATGTAAAATCATAAAGTTTTTCATAATTTTGTAATTAAATTTTAAAAATATCACTGACAAGTGATTTTTCTTTTTTTTTATTTTATTTAATGAAATCCGAACACAACAATAGGCAAAGCATTGTTTTAAATTAGATGACATTTGATCATAACTCAACCTTAATACTGGTAAGATATCATTCTTATTTTGGACATGAGCCCACATCGCGTTATCCCTCACGGACAACCAATCATGCTCATTAGTTTTTGTGTACAACAAAACTCCCAAGGTCCTCGCTGCAAGAGGTACTCCACCACATTTCTTCACTATTTCTCTACCAATATTGATCAAGTTTGGATGCTTACTCTCTTCCCCTTTTTCAAATGCCCAGTTCACCAATATAGCTAAACAATCACTATCTAAAAGACCTTTAAGTTGGTAAGATTCCATAGTGCGCACAATTGAAGCAACCTTCCTACTACGGGTGGTGACAACAATTCTACTTCCTCTTTCCACTGACATCAACAAATCATGCAATTTTTGCCATTCTACAGGGTCCTCATTCCATACATCATCCAACACAAGGAAAATTCTCTCTTCACTCAGCATTTTTTGAACAAGACTTTGCAATTGCTCAATTCCTGCATTATTGCAATTATTGTCCCCTGCAGCTGTTAGTAACTTTCTTAGTATCTTTTCTATATCGAAATCATCAGAGACACACACCCACAATCTTTTGGTAAAATTATCTTCGATCCTATAGTCATTATATACCAACTGTGCAAGCGTGGTCTTTCCTAGACCCCCCATTCCCACAATGGGAATAATGTGAACGTTCTCTCCCTCCTCGGAGAACAATAACAATTTTATTAAATCTTCTTTATCACTTCCTCTCCCAATAACCTCCGGAATACGCACAAAGGAGGAGGTTTCTTCTCTTCTTTTTATCTTGATTGGCTTTTCTACAACTTGCACAACAAAATTAAAATCTCTCATCTCCGAAGCAATCTCATCTAGCCTCTCCTTGATATCCTTTATTTTACGAGCCACATCAAAACGAAATACAATTGGATTTGAGCTTGTAAAAAAGTGGCTTACCTCTCTCCTCATCATGCTCTTGTGAGTTTCCACTTGCCTTGTCAAAGCCTTGGTCGCAACTTCATCCAACAAGTCATCAGCATCGTAAAACACAAGTTTGAGCCTTCGTAGCCAATCTTTGACAGCAAGGTTGGTAATCTGCCTATCTTGTGCATCAAGAAGAACATTTCTGAGGGTGGAGATCTTGTTCTCTAGCATCCTCAGGTCCTTTTTGGCAGCCCATGTTAATCCAAATTGTTGGATAAGAGACGACCCCAGCTTGGACAAAATTTCTCTGGCAAGGTTGAACAGAATTGCTTCTGCCATATCGTACCAGTCTAAGGAGGCTGCAAAAG